TTTTTGCCTTAAAGAATACTGACCTAGAGGAAACTTTCAAATACATTCCACCTAGCCAACATTTTACTTTCCCTCTCCTCATAAACTTTCCCTGCTTATTATTTAACTTTCAGACTTGAAGTGCTAGAGAAGCCTCTGCCAATCCCATTAAATGGAAAAAGTATTCATGCCCTCACTTAGTGTGACCATATCATAATGAAAGGAAATTTTTAAAATATATTTTTTATTTGTTCTAATTAGTTATACATGACAGAATGCATTYTGACACATCATACACAAATGGAGTATATCTGTTCATTCATCTGGTTGTACATGATGTAGAGTTACACAGGTCATGTACTCATACATGCACAAAGGGTAATAATGTCCAATTTATTCTACTATCATTCCTTTCCCCATATCCCCTCACCTCCCTTCACTCCCCTCGGTCTAGTCCAAAATATCTCTATTCTCCCCTCTACCCTTCTATATGTGAATTAGCATTCACATATCAGAGAAAACATTCAGCCATTGGTTCTTTGGGATTGACTTATTTCGCTTAGCATAATATTCTCCAGTTCCATCCAGTTACTGGTAAATGCCATAATTTCATTCTTCTTTCAGGCTAAGTAATATTCCATTGTGTGTATATACCACAGTTTCTTTATCCATTCATCTGTTGAAGGGCACCTAGGTTGGTTCTATAGTTTAGCTATTGTGAATTGAGCTGCTATAAACATTGATGTGGCTGCATCATTGTAGTATGCTGAATAGTTTACTCTTCAAGCAGAATGTTCTTTTGTAAAAATTTTTATTCTAATTTGTTATATAAGACAGTGGGATGCATTACAATTCWTATTACACATATACAGCACAATATTTCATATCTCTGGTTGTATACAAAGTATCTTCACACCATTCCTGTTTTCATACATATAGTTTAGATAATGATGTCCATCTCATTCCACCATCATTTCTAACCCCATGTTCCCTCCTTTCCCCTCCCACCCCCTTTCCCTGTCTAGAGTYCATCTATTTCTACCATGCTCCCCCTCCCAACCCAACTATGAATCAGCCTCCTTATATCCGAGAAAACATTCAGCATTTGGTCTTTTGGGATTGGCTAACTTCACTTAGCATTATATTCTCCAACTCCATCCATTTACCTGCAAATGCCATGATTTTATTCTCTTGTATTGCTGAGTAATATTCCATTGTGTGTATATATACCACATTCTCTTTATCCATTCATCTACTGAAAGACATCTAGGTTGGTTCCACAATTTAGCTATTGTGAACTGTGCTGCTATAAATATAAACATTGATGTGGCTGTGCCTCTGTGGTATGCTGTTTTTTAGTCCTTTGGGTATAGACTGAGGAGAAGGATAGCTGGGTCAACTGGTGGTTCCATTCCCAGCTTTCCAAGGAATCTTCATACTGTTTTCCAGATTGGCTGCACCAATTTRCAGTCCCACCAGCAACGTATGGTTCTGCCTTTCCCCCCACATCCTCGACAATACTTATTGTTGTTTGTGTTCTTAATAGCTGCCATTCTGACTGGAGTGAGATGAAATCAGTTTTGATTTGCATTTCTCTAATTGCTAGAGATGCTGAACATTTTTTTTTCATATATTCGTTGATTGATTGTAATTGTCTTCTCTGTTCAGGTCCTTGGCCCATTTACTGGTTGGGTTATTCATTTTATTCATTTTTTTCGTATTTAGTTTTTTTGAGTTCTTTATATACCTTAGAGATTAGTGCTCTATCCGATGGGCAAGTGGTAAAAATTTGCTCCCAAGATGTAGGCCCTCTATTCACCTGATTGTTTTTTTTGCCGAGAAGAAGCTTTTTAGTTCAAATCCATCCTACTTATTGATTCTTGATTTTAATTCTTGTGTTATAGGAGTCTTATTAAGGAAGTTGGGGCCTAATCTGACACAATGGAGATTTAGACCTACTCTTTTTTCTAATAGGTGCAGAGTCTCTGGTTTAATTCCTAGGTCCTTGATCCACTTTGAGTTGAGTTTTGTGCAAGGTGAGAGAGAGAGGCTTAATTTCATTTTTGTTGCATATGGATTTCCAGTTTTCCCAGCACCATTTGTTGAAGAGGCTATCTTTTCTCCAATGYATGTTTTTGGCGCCTCTTTCTAATACAAGACAACTGTAATTGTGAGGGTAGTCTCTGTGTCCTCTATTCTGTACCACTGGTCTACCGATCTATTTTGGTGCCAATACCATGCTATTTTTGTTACTATTGCCCTGTAGTTTAGATTATGGTCTGTTATAGTGATGCCACCTGCTTCACTCTTCTTGCTAAGGATTTCTTTAGCTATTCTGGGTCTCTTATTATGAAAGGGAATTTTATAACAAGAAATTTTAAATAACAGACCAGAGGTCAAGGGACTACAGAACTATCAATATAGATGCCTACTGAAGTTTACCTATTCAAAACAGGAGAGAAAAGAAGGTACATCATTGTGCCTTGATGTATGAAATATGGCTGCACAATGTCAAAAAGCATTTTTTCAGGTAATGAGGAAAACTTGACTTTTTATTCCTAAAGGAATTTAGATCACAATGGGAGACAATCCAACCCAAATATAATACTGCTTTTTCTTTTTTTGGTACCAGGGATTAACCCAGGGGCACTTAGCCACTACTGAGCCATGTCTCCTACCCTTTTTACTTTTTATTTTGAGACTGTGTTTTGCTAAGTTACTTAGGGCCTCATTAAATTGCTGAATCTGGCTTTGAACTTGCAATCTCCTGCCTTAGCATCCAGAGTGGCTGGGATTACAGGCGTGTACCACCACATATATCTTATACTGTTTTCCATAATTAAACATTTCACTCCTACCACACATTGCCAAACATTCATTTGACAATATCAGAGCATCAAGTCATACCTGGAATCATCTTCCCTAGAGTATTAACTTCCAGACACATGCCTATGAATACAGGCAGCAGGATTACTTCTCTCTTTATCAGAGCTCAAACAAAGGTACATCAGTAGACCAATTACTGGCAAAGCAGAGAAAGGCTTAGGATTCTAGTTCTTATTCATTAACTACAACCATCAGGCCATTTTAGTTCCAGCTAATCTTCCCCTTAACTCTGTTGCACAATGCTCCACACAACTATACTCCAAAGGTGCAGTTATTTGCTTTCCTCTTTCCTAATTTTCTGTGGTTGAAGTGGGGGAAAAGAAAAAGGTCTRTTTGTTCAAGGACAAGAGACAAATTCCAGCCACAACTAACCTTCCTGGTCTTTTCCTACAGATCATAAATGAGAGACAAAATAAACAAACAAACAAAAAACCCTAGAAAATTCCTTTTATTCTGTTCATTTTGAATGTTTATAAACTGATTATAGACTTGTTAAAATTTTTGCCTCAACTATTTGCATCTTAAAAAGGTTTGATAGAAACAATGATTTTAACATTGGTCAGTCATACAATTCAATCATTCCATTTTCATAGATGGGGTACATTTGGTTTGACATTTGCTATTTTGTATTTTGGGTCCAGCAACAGATCTCTCTTTTCTAATATCACCCCAGTCCTCTTCTGGATATATGTGGACTTGGTGGCCTCCAGATTTTGAACTGGGGCTTTGCAAGAAGCTGGAATGTAGTTTAGGTCTAGCCTGTCTCACATTTTTCCCTGGAACTCTAAATCTTAGGCAAATAACCAAAAGGAATAGGTATAGTGGGGTACAGTCATATTAACTGTTGAGAAAGTGGCGAGGTATGTGCCAGTCTGCTCCAGCTCTCTGGCTTTCCATGAATGCCCCTGGCTTAACCTGTTCTATGAGCTTGGTCCCTTTGTCTCCCATTCATTAAGTGACCACTAAAATTTTTTAATATTTTACTTATGAAAGATAAAACTGATTTTTGAATGTGCAACAGAGAATCTGACTGAAGTCCAGAGAATTTAATTCCTTGCCCCAAATCACACARCTAGTCATCAGGAGAGCCAGAATTAACCCCCCATGTTATCTGACACTCAGGCTGGCACTTTAACCCTTTATCCTATGTTAGATGTTATTATAATATGATATGTTGCTGACTTAATAGGCTGAAGCAAATAGCAGTTAAAAACACATCAAGTCACTTCATCCCAAGAGAACAAAGGCAGGATTTCACTGCAAAGCCTGGTATGGTGTTTGTTCTATTTTTTCACCATTTCCTGAAGACAAAAGTTCAGATCTGAGTGGGAAAAGATTGAGACATATTCCCATGAGGCACATACTTTCATCCTGTCTCTTAAAGTTGCTTCTTTTTCCTTTAGTAAGTTTCTTAGATATTAAATATTGTGGGGCTGGCCAAGTATGGTGGCACACGTTTGTAATCCCAGCAGCTTGAGAGGCTAAGACAGGAGGATCATGAGTTCAAAGTCAGCCTCAGCAACTTAGTGAGGTCCTAAGCAACTCTGTGAGACTCTTAAATAAAATATAAGAGYGAGCTTGAGATGTGGCTCATTGATTAAGCACCCTGGGTAAAATTCCTGGTATCAAAAAATCAAATAAAACTAAACATTGGGGGATTGAACTCAGGGCCTTGCAAATGCTAGGCAAGCACTCTACTACTAAGCTATATCCTCAGTCCTGCCCCCCCAATATTAAAATCTAGGTCTCAAAAATAAAATGTGAGGAGGATCACAGAATCTACAAAGAAATACAGGAAAGCCTACATGGGCAAAAAGTGGCTGCCTGCCCAGTCCTTGGTTCCTTTTCAGTCTTCTCTGAGGCTAAAAGCATTTTCTTCTAGAAGCTAAATGGCTACACATACACTTGACCTCCTTTCAGAGATACAAAGCATTTAGTTTTTGGTTTAGGTTTTTAAAATACTAACAAATAATCAAATTTCAGAGGTGGACGGTGTGTGGAAAGGGTCTAGGGCAGGGCATCAAATGGTCACCGGTAGACTAGTTCAGCACATTTTGTTAGGCCAGCACAGATTTAAAATAACTTTGATGACAGAATACCTTCGAGAAGAACATATATTCTCTGTTTTTTTCCAGGTTGCCACCAATCCTGAACTTCCACAACTGCCTGACTCCCAAACTTCTGAGTTTGAGCTAAGTCTAGACCTCCCATGACAGCACTGCTGCCTTTCTAGTTTCCCTCTCTGCAACTGCCCTGGTGAGACTCAGCCTCAGTCTTGTCTTCAATAGTTGTCCAAAAACTAACCCTCCCAAATACACCATCACCACCACAAACAACAACAACAATAATAACACACTTAGATGCCCATGAATGAGTTAGTCTCAAGGAACTTCCTCAAACACAACTGACCCTAGTCTTCTGATGACTGAGTGGTTGGGAATTTTGTTTAGAAGATCTTCCTTCAAGAAGAGAAGAAACTGTCTCAGATCAAAAAAGTACATTTCCATGACAGGCTGAATTAACAAAGCTTCTTGGTTCTAAACTCTAGATTTGGACACTTTTCTTTTGGAAGAAAAAAAATTTAAAGCTCTCTGACCCAAAAGTAAATGACCTGCACAGTTTCCCCCCAGTATTTAAAATGTTACATATACTGGTTACTTATTGGTTACTAAGAGACATGACCCAACATTACTTGGCACTAAATTTCAAGTAGATGTGGGAATAAAACAAAAGATTAACACTGTTCAGCATTTGAAAAATCATTTCATTTACATGATTAAACAAATTCCTTCTTAGGTATTTAAAATACACCTGCAGAAGGAATGCAAGTTAGTCTTTATTTAACCGGAAATGTCAAACACTGCTTTCAGACCCTTTCTCTTTTACCCTTGGAAAAGCYTGAGGTTCAGGTCATCTTCTATTTGTTGTTGTCACTTTTTGACATTCTTGTTGCTATTGCTTACTTATCCCTTATTCTGGCTCACTCTCTTTTCACTCTGGTTCTTACTTCAATCTTTTTATTTTATTTATTTTATTTTTTAGTAGTAGTTGGACACAATACCTTTATTTTATTTATTTTATTTTTATGTGGTGCTGAGAATCGAACCCAGGGCCTTGCACATGGTAGGCGAGCGCTCTACCATTAAGTCACAACCCCAGCCCCTTACTACAATCTTAGATGTTCATTTATATGAACAATAGAATCTCTAAGAGCTTTGCCACCAAGCGTCTCATCTTTCTGATCCTCAAAGACCTTTACCTAGACTCTGAGACTTCTAATTCCCAGGGTCCCTCTGGAGAGCATGAGATGTTGATGAACTCTGGGTGGGGGGGGGGTACTGAGGATTTAACCCAGTGGCATAGTACCACTCAGGTACATCCCCAGCCCTTTTTATTTTTTATTTTGAGATAGGGTCTCACTAATTTGGTTAGGGCCTTGTTAAGTTGCTGAGACTGGCTTTGAACTTGTGATTTCCCTACGTCAGCCTCCAGAGTCTCTGGGATTACAGATGTGTACCCCGGTAACAAGCAATGGTGATAGATTTGATTTCAGGGGAAAAAAACCCCAAAACAACAACTCATATTTTGTGGCAACAACCAACCTGTTTCTCCTTGTGACTCYGATGTGTTCAATCCCCTTTCAACCTGAAGGAGACTCCTAGTCCCTTTAGTTCCTCAATTTTTTCCAGGCGGCCAACTGTTTTTTGGACTTTTCTTTCTTTCCTAATTAACTATCTCATGTCCTATTTCCTAGTTGGTTTCCGTATAATTTATTCTCCTTGCTCCTGAATTCCCTTCATAATACTACAGCTTAACTGTAGGATTCAATGAGGTTGTTTTGTTTTCTCCCTATGTTACTGAAGGTTGAACCCAGGTGTGCTCTACTACTGAGCTATACCCCCAGCCCTTTTTATTTGAGAAAGGGTTTCATTAAGTAGTCCAGGCTGGCCTCAGAATTCTGATCCTCCTGGCATAGCCTCCTGAGTAGCTGGGATTACAGGTGTGTGTCATCATGCATGGCTAGTGAGTTATTTATTATCTGAGGAGTGGGCTTCTTGGCAGAAAAACTTTAACCATCTTGTCTAGTGTTCTCTCTCTAATGTCTAGCATACTGCCTGACAGTCAATAAATATATATTGAGTACATGAAAGTAATTGAAGAAGATTATGAAATCACACCTCTGGAAGTCACAGCACACTCATGGTCTCAATAACAAAGATACCAGACACAACAGCAAAAACACTGAGTTAACCCAGCGGTGCATTGACATCTCTGGAAAGCTCCCTTCGCATGTTATTCCCCAAACTCCCCACTCTGGACTCCTACTTCCTTCAACTCTCCATAGTTAACCTGACCTTGTATAATACCAAGAAAATGGTGGCTAGCTAATATTATTGTGCTTCTCCATCTGAGAATAATGTGTTCAGCTGTCAAAAGTTAATCCTTTCATTTGTGTCCTAGACTCCATTCCTTCCAAAGTCACTTTTCTCTCTCTAATGACTACTTCTCCCCAAATGAATAAGGAGGAAGGAAAAAAAGAGCAAAAGAGTAAAGTCCAAATGATGATTTAAGGATTTGTCAAAGGAAAAAGAAATAAAGTAGCAATTGCTGTTCTTAATTAGTTCACAATTTTTAATCAACCTGATGTCCCTTGCTTTCTATACTTTTCCCCCTCCCAGAATTATTATAGATTGTCCCACCATTTCAGATGAAAACTTTCTTGTTCCTTGAAAATTTAATTTTGGGGGCTTTCTTGATGCCAATCCATTGTGTAACAGTTATTTTACAAATTTATGAAGTGTACATTGTAAAGCAAAATTTCAAAGAAACAATGATCTACAGCACATTTTTCTCTATTTTCCAGAGACTGATTGGAAGAAATCAGAGAGGAGGGGACAAGAGATTGCCAAGGTAGTATTTTGTAGTACAAAAACGGGGCAACGTGAAACTATAAGAATTTCAGATACTTTAAGATTTGGAGTAAGAGGAAAATGTCCAAATCAAAATGATCCAAGAGTAAATTTAATTTTCATGTGTCTGAAATGTGTTGTGGAGTTAAAATTCATATAATATATTTGCTCCTATGTAGGAACAGATATTGGAGTACAATCCCACACCTGCTGCTTATATTGCTTTTAGCTCCTGGTTGAGCTAGGTTCAATAACCTACCTCAATGGCAATTCTTCAGGTGCAGAAAAACATAAGGATCAAAAGAATTTATTTTAAACACCAGTTTTATTACCAAAGGCAGAATTTATCTTATTAGAAGAAAAGCCACAATCCTAAGGAGGGTCATTTGTCTTCTTACACAGTAATAAACAACTAGCAAAACTGTTTGTTAAGTCCTACAGACTTCCTAAGCCATCAGGGAATGCCACCTACCACAGACCTAATTTTAAACATTCAAGCACAGAGAACCATGCTTACTAAAAGGAAGGTGGTTAAAGATACTCAGTATTTAATCATGTTAACCAAACAAGGAGACAGTCCATTTTATTTTTTTCTTTTGTCAAATAAGAAAATGAGAATAATAATGGCCTATTCACTATTAAGAAGAGGATGAAGGGTGAGACCTAAACAGCTCTGAGGCAGACAAACAGAAATGGAGCACTGCCATSGACAAGATTAGTCAGATATTGGGAGAGTCGAGGTTTGCAACACAACAGAGGGCAAAAAAATGAACTTTAAAAAAGAAAGAAAGAAAGTCTGCTCTGAGATGGGCATCGTAACTTGTAACTTGTCTTGAATAGTCAATGTCATTTAATAACAATTTTTTGGGGAGTGGGGTACTGGAGATTGAACTCAGGGGCACTCAACCACTGAGCCACACCCCAGCCTTTTTTTTTTTTTTTAATATTTACTTATTTTAGTTTTCGGTGGACACACATCTTTGTTTGTATGTGGTGCTGAGGATCGAACCTAGGCCGCACACATGCCAGGCGAGTGCGCTACTGCTTGAGCCAGATCCCTAGCCCCCTATTTTGTATTGTATTTAGAGACAGGGTCTCACTGAATTGCTTAGCGCCTCACTGTTGCTGAGGCTGGCTTTAAATTTGAGATCTTCCTGTCTCAGTCTCCCCAGCCACTGGGATTACAGACGTTCACCACCATGGCAATTTTTAAGTGTTGAGAGAATTAAAATTCTATACATATTAAGACACAGTTTTTTTTTTTTTTTAATTAGAGCAGAGATTGTATACATGTTAAGGGTTACTCTTTGTTTTTGTCTATTCTTGGGTCATCCATACTCCAAAAACTAGAATATTTGGGTCCCAAAAGTCAAAAAATAAAAACAAGAACTTGCTGATGGTGTGTTGATAAGCTGCAATGCCCTTTTGTTAACTCACCACCAAAACCAAATGATGATGCTAGAATCAGGAAAAAAACAGGGAAGTGGCTGTATGACAAAATATCTGAACTTCTGCTTAAGAAAAAGGATATAACTAGGCAAAAAACTGTACTTATGAAGCTATTATGGCTAGTATGGAAATGGCTATTAATAATAGATGGTGTCATTGGGGGTGATTTTTTTATTTTTGCAAATTTTCTTAAACAATGTTAATCTGTGTTTTCAATTATTAAAAAGAGAGAAAAGGCAGTACAGGAAAATACACGATCGTGGGAACAGAGTCAAGCACACAGATGTTTTGCGTAAGCTACATTTTCAGAGACATCTGCCTTTGTGCAAGACTTGAAAAAGTGGAGCTGTTGTCAACAAGTTCTCTGCAGTGAGGGGTGGGGCCTGAGAGAAAGTAAGCTGTGAAGAAACCAATAATTAGAACCCACAGGGCTGAAAAACAATGTTTCGTAGATTAAGTTCCTCATTTATGAGCTACCTCTGCCCAAAATACTTTGCCATCAACTATGTCTACTACTCAAATAAGGAGGAACTAAGGCTGCCCATGTCTCCACTCAAGTGACTGAGGTTCTTTGCTGGCAGCACTACTTACCCCTTAGCAGATAGTCCATCCCTGTGGGAGAAGAGATAGGGTACAACCTGTTGTATAAAAATCTGGGGGGATTCAAGCTGCCTTCCTTGTCCTCTCGATCCAACTCCAAACAGAAAGCTTATCATGTGCAGAAAAACTCACGTAAAAGCAAAGATGACACAATTGTTCATATGTTCTACTGCTTTACTTTGGAGTATATTAAACTTTATTTCTGTTTAGTTAGGTGAATTCTCCTAGGTRTACACATATAATTTTGTTGTTGTTTGTTTTTGGTACTGGGGACTGATCCAAGTGGCACTTTACCACTGAGATACATTCTTAGCCTTTTTTTTTTTTTAATATTTATTTTTTAGTTTTAGGTGGACACAATATCTTTATTTTCTGTGTTGAGGATCAAACCCAGTGCCTTGCGCATGCCAGGCAAGTGCGCTATCACTTGAGCCACATCCCCAGCCCATTCCTAGCCCTTTTGTTTTATTTTTATATTGGCCCTTTTAAAAATCTTTTATTTTGAGACAGAGTCTTGCTAAGTTGCTTAGGACGTCTCTAAGTTGCCAGGGCTGTCCCTGAACTTGTGATCCTCTTGCCTCAGCTTCCTGAGCCACTAGGATACAGGAATGCACCACCACACCCAGCTAAATTGTTTGCTTTTGAATGTAAGGTAGTACAGGGAGATCATCATTCATATTGCTTTATGTAGYATCCAGTTTTTTAATGCCATATACAGAGTCCTTAATAAATGTGATTTGAAAATGATAACAGGGCTGCTTAAGATTCCAGAACAGGGGCTGTGTTTGTAGCTCAGTGGTAGAGTGTCTGCCTAGCACATGTGAGACACTGGGTTTGATCCTCATCACCACATAAAAATAAATAAATAAATAAATAAATAAATAAATAAATAAAGGTATTGCTTCCATCTATAACTTAAAAAAAAAGATTAAAGTATACTCCAGGAGATAATAAAGTATGAAAGTGTTCTCTGGTATCTCCTGGCAGGTGGGAAAGCCCACATGTGTGTGACAAAAACCAGAAGAGAGGGTGCATTACTTGTTCTTGTTTGTAGCCTTTAGTCATGCCTGATGCTAGTGGGGACTTCTTCCCCTTGCAAAAGAACTTTGAACTGACTTGCAAACTTATATCTGGTATTGTCTTGAACTTCCTTTTTCTGAGAAGTTGGCTGTCTTATGGGTTATTGCTCTACATCTGCCTTCTGTGTGAGTTGACTACAAAAAAATTTAGAAACTTCTCACTCAGACACAGTAGTTTCTGCTAGGTCCTATGTAATAATTCTTCTTCCTTCATGACAGTGGAGCCTATCATCTGTAGGTTTATATAAATACATTAGGCTAAAAACTACCTGATAATCTAATTTCTTGGTTAATTCCATATAGCTCATAGGACCCACATTTTCCCACTGGTAAAACTACCAACCAGAGCAGAAAGTTACAAATAGAGAAATCAAACTATAGTTAAGTACATGAAAATTCCAACTCACAGGCAATTCATGCAAAAGAGAAGATATCAAATCTTTCTGTACTTATATAATCTAACAGTGGTTTTGAAATGTGGATGTCAGAACCTACTCCATGAAACCTAATTTGGTAATATTTTTCTTAAATGCTCTAGTTGATTCTGAAACTCACTCAGGTTTGTAAACTACTTTTCAAGAATACATCATAGATTCCATTCAACAAGTGTTTATTAAGAATGTATCAGAGTTATTGGGGATGTGGCTCAAGCAGTAGCGTGCTCGCCTGGCATGTGCGGGGTGCTGGGTTCGATCCTCAGCACCACATACAAATAAAAAATAAAGATGTTATGTCCACCAAAAACTAAAAAATAAAAATAAAAAGAATGTATTAGAGTGCTCCCCTAGCATGTGCGGGCTGCTGGGTTCGATCCTCAGCACCATATAAAAATAAAAAATAAAGGTAAAAAAAAAAAAACCCAACAACCATGTAGTAAGTAACAGGTGCCATTCTAGGCATTGGGAATATAGCAATACACTTTTATGAAAAAGTCAAGGGACTAATACTTTTGTGGGGTGGAAGTAGAAGGAGACAATAAGTAAACTGTTAGGTGACAAATGTTCTGAAGAAAACAGTTAAGAGGCTTAAAAAAAAAAGGGTGCATTGCTGTATGGTGATCATGGATGGACTTTCTGATAAAAGCAATATTATACCAGAGGGTTAAATAAACAATAACCCGAACAAATTCACTGCCATCTTCAGAACACAGGAAATTCAGAGTTCTTTTTCCTACAGAGAAGGCTGCCTATGCAATCTGTCTTGGAGCCTGGGCAGCTCCCTGAAATGAGGCTGGGAGAGGAAAACCAAGATGCTTTCAGGCAGAGGGAGCAGCATATACAAAAACTCAGCTGAAACCTTTCTATGATGTATTCTTGAAAAGTAGTTTAACCCTAACCCTAATTCCCCGAAACAAAACAAAACAAAAAAATCCCACAAAGGCCCAGTTGGTTGGAGGGAGAAACAGAAACAACTTCAGTCCCACTGTACGGTGAAAAAGTGAAGGAAGGCTGCAATAAAGATGAGAGGAGGTAAGCATGGCACAGATCTTGAAGGGTCTGACACCACCAACCAAGCAATGTGGACTTTATCCTCAGCAAAAGTTTGCATTTCCAGAAAGATTCCTCTAACAATGGATGGGAAAGTAGAGTAAGACTTAGACATAGGGAGATCGATATTATTTGTWGGCAAAAGAGAAGGGTGATTTGATCTGAGCTAATGGAAATAGAAAGATGACAGATATCTGGGGCTGTCTAATAGTCTTTCTGATATGATGGAAATTTTATTTCACAGAGCTATTGTAAGAAAAACCAGAGAAAGAAATGCTTTGATATATACAAATTCCTTCCAATCACAAAGAATGTTTTTTTCTTTGTTCCTCCTGACTATTCTGTCAGGTCCTTGCCTTCAAACAAATACTAATGCTTTAAGGTTT